TTGGAGAAACCTTGACTTATTTATATGCATCGTCGTTGATGTTGTAAATAAATTTTTGCAGCTGATTTTGCTTGTAAGTTGTATCTCCTTACTCATGTGTACAATATTATGAGAATATCGATAAACGCTAATGTGATTTTGCGGAGTTGTTAATTATGACGATGTAAGTAGAGTTTTCTTTTTGTGTATAATGATGTAAACCGTTTATTGTTAGTCCAAATTTAATAGCTTGGTTTCTTAGATAAATTTTATTGTTCGTTGTCAGCTTGTGAATATGTAATGATATGATAAGCCTTTACTTTCTGCGGTTCTTCTTTCCGTTTCCATTTTCTCTTCTTCTAACTATCTGGATCCAAGCTTTGAATGATGAAATTTACACTAGTTCTTCTGGTACCTCTCTATTGACAAAACAATATTTTGATTACCGGAGCACGCTAAATGGCGACGGCTACTCCTTTGAGGAGGTGAAAAGAGCGCGGAAGGAGCAGGGAACCGGCGTTTAATTAAAAATTAAGGAAAACACCCATCAATATTTTTTTTAATACGAAAAGTCCAACGTACACATCGTTGATAAATAATTTTTAATTTGTTATCTAACTATCAATTATTGTCTCGCTTATTGTCTTTTAATTTGTTGATAAATAATTTTTTGAAAGATTAAACATGATTAAATTAGTTTTTATGAAAAATTAAATTAGTACAAAAGACAAGTTCAATAATATTTTATGAAATAAATAAGTGACAAAGAAAAAAAGTGATAATGAGCATTTATCTTAAAAACGATTTTGACTAGACTTTGAAAATCCTTTATGAACACGATAAGGCCAGTTTGAATGTGTATTTTTATGTTCCCCTGTTCACTTTTGTAAGTAAGGATTTTAATAAAATAATATTTTTAATTGACAAATGTAGTTAATTGTTATCTATTAATCTAATTTTATATTAAATAAGTATTTTAAATTTAATAATTTTTAAGTAAATATTTTGAGTGATAAAAAGTCAATGAAATAAAAAGTAAATTATAATATTAACATTTCTCCATTTTTTTCTCTTCTCAATTTTTTTTAGCTCTTCATTTTTCATTTATCTCTCATCTCAACTTTCATTTCTAATATTTTATTGTCAAAATAATTATTGTTTATTACTTGTATTTATAATTTAACTCACTTCTAATTGATAAAAGTAATTGTCATTATTTTAGTTAAAATTTCATTTAAGTTAAGTAAAACTCATATTTATTTATTTTTTTTAAATAAAGTGTTTGCCATTTACAAATCTTCAATAGTATGAATTAGAATTTATAATTAGGTACTCAACTGTGTAGTCATGAGTTGAAGTAAAAGATAAGTAAATCCTTATTATGTGAATGAAAATCAAAGAGAAAAAATAAAATAATATTTATTTCTTTCGTGGTTACTTCCTTTTTATTTATATATTTTTTTAAACCAAACATGGTATTGTGATAATAATAGAGGTGAAACAATGGCAACTTCAATATCTTCGAAGACCCTGTCTAACTCATGTCAGCACAGCACATCCAAGATCTTCTCATCATTATTAGAAGGTATATTGAATGTCCTCGATGACAGGCATCGACGGTAATTGATTCAGAAAGGAAGACTCCTTGCATTTCCTTAGTGTATGTGAACTTAGACCCTAATGTGCACTCTTGCTTATCCGATTCCCACCCGCGTTACACCTCGCGTGATTACTATCATTTTCAAATAAATAAAACTTTGTTTAATAAATTAAATAAATAACATTTGCCCTTCTTCTAGATTCAGTTATGTAGGCATGTCGTTGGCCTGAGTTTTGTGGCCACTTTTTTTTTTATATGATTTTTATTTTTTAAAATACAAAAAATATGAATTTTTTTACAAAATTACGAGAATATAAAATTTAAAAATTATCATTGAAAATTTTTGGTGTAGTACAAATATTTAGAAACAAAAAAATAAAAAAGTGATAAAATTTTAAAAGTTGTCAATGACAAATTTTTAAAAAATATTAAAAAATAAAAAATTGTCAATAGTAATTTTTTAAAATATAATTAAATATTTAAAAAGTGTATCAAAAGTTGTTATTAACAGTTTTTAGCCAAAAGTTACCGATGACAATTTAAAAAAAAAAATCATCTTTCTATAATTTTGCAAAATTTTTCATATTTTTTGATTTTTTTAAAAAAACCCATATATACAAAAATATTCCGAGTTTATTGTATTATTCTATAACCTTTTTATTGTTTAATAAAGTAACTATAAAATAAGAAATACATATATTTATTATTTTAAAAACATTTAACAGTTAAAAAGATTTGTAATTGTTTCAGCTTTATGAATAGTTAAAACTGTGGCATTTATGTGGTAAATCACGTTCCGTTAACAGCCAAGGTAAATTTTATGGTATCTATAAAAAAAATTTAGTATATCATACATAAATTTTTTTAATTTATAATATTTAAATACGTATTTAAATAATAAAATTATTTAATAATAAATTATTATATTTATTATATTTAAATAAGTTTAAGAGCATTTAAGTTAAAATTAAATAAATTAAAATTAAAAATAAATAATAATAGTAATATATTAATATATATTTTTGTATTTTTAATTTTATTATTATTAATATTTAATTATTACATTAATATATTATTTATAATTTTTTATAATAAATAGAAATTATTTAAATAATAAAATAAAAATTTAATATACAATATACTTATATATAATAATAAGACTATGTAATAAATAATATAATTTTAAATAAATTATATATAATAATATTTTTTATTTGAAATATATATTTTTTATTGATATAAAATTTTTAAATATGATACTCATAATGTATCTTTTTTTTGTTAATATAAATTTTTTAAATATAATATTCATAAAAAAATTTTAAGATACTACAATATAAAACCTATTTGTTTTACTTGTTGAAATTAAGTGTATACGGTTTTTCATATTAAAAACCACGTAAAAGTAGAAGTTTAGTACTTAAAAAAAAAATAAAAAAATCATAAAACTGTGTTTGGAGAAGTGTACAAATTGGCTATTATTGTATTCGCTTACCCTCAAGCCTTGCTGCTACCTGCCTCAACAAGCATTTTGCTTTTTGACGTCAGGGTCGTCGTTACTCAATGATGTCAGATGGTGAGGTAGGACTTTTTGTGGGCTTGACTTGGCTGCAAGTTGATTCTAATGGATGATGGCTCGCAGCCCAAGAGTAACTTTTTTAATACATATTTTATTTTTTACTAAAATTTATAAAAATTATAAAGTTTCACTTGTTTTCATTTTTAAATTTATTTTTATATTTTTTATTTTTTAAGTAACAGTAAAAAAAGTATTGTTAACATTCTTTTAATATTAATTAAACTACAGTTAAAAGAAGTTGAACAAATAATCAGCAAAATAATTGCGACATAAAAAAAGTTATGAATTTGACAATAGGATGTGATGAAATAATAATATTAATAATGGTGAAAATTAATATGATACACTCAGTTCATAATTCAGACTGAATTATGGGATGTATTCATGTTACATGTATTATTGTATATAAATAAAATTTGAATTACGGATGAGATAAATGGGGGGTCTCTATGTTACTATATACTGTGTACAAGAGAATTGATACTGAGAAGATGAAGTTAAACATTTTTTTAACTTACAGCACATTCAGACATTTGCTTAATCACACTAATTAGTGACCATAAGGCAACTAAAATTTATATTTGAGACATTCAATATTTATGAATAAAAACACATAAAAATAATATATTTTATTAAAATAATTTATATTTCACCGTATTGTGTTTCCTTTTCTTAATCAGTAATTAATATATCTATCTCATTATTTGACTTATTTTTTATTCTTTTCATTTTTATTGTTTATTTCTTATATTTAATATTATAATATTGAGATAAAAACATTACTAAAACATAAATTGTTCTAAATGTTAATTATCCATTGCCTTTATAATACTTAAAATTCATACTATTTCTATGTGAATTATTTTTTGAAAAATTAACATCAATAAAATATTGCCTAACATCAACAGTGTCTCAACAGATTATAAATAGATATCGATTGAAAACAATAAACAAAATTAACTATAACAATTTAGCAAGATTTTACGTATCTAACATTATAAAAAGGCATTTTAAAAAAGTAATTATAGTTTTAGTATGTTATTTGAATTATCTTTTTTCAAAATTTCTAAACTGTTATTAGGCCAGCCGCGCAAAGTTATTAAAATAAGTTTTCTTAAAAAGACAAAGTTGTAAGATACTATTTTTAAATGTACTACAAAGAATATATTTTTTTGTACGGCGAACAAATTCTGCTAGTGTCGGATCAACTGATAAAGTTATAATTTTGAATATTGATTTTTTTACCTCTTCTCTTGTGAACATCTATGTTACAGAGAGAGAGAGAGAGACAGGGACAGAGACGTAAATAAATTTTTATTGATATCTAATCAGAAATTACGGTATTGAAAAAAATATTGACTTTTATATTAATTAGTTTTAAAATTATATTTATTGTACTATTTTAATTAATTGGCATTATAAAAAGTTATATATTTTGATTTTTGTAGAATGGTCAGGTAATAAAGTATTAAAATTAAACTTAATAATTTTTAATATTTTCAAGTTATATAAATTTTATTCTATTGGCAGACTTATTCTACCTAAATAACTAACTTGAGGACTAAAATTCCACAAATAAGTTACAATTTTAAAGCTGATATTTTTTGGGTCCACCAAAATTTAAAGTGGATTTTACCTTACACTTTATGGAAAGCCCATGAATCTTGTTTTTAGGCCAGACTAAGCCCATGAATCTAATTCTGATTTATCTTCTAAGTTTCCTAACCCTTCGTCCCAAGGGAAAGAGATTTCCTAGGCCCAAAGCCGGCCCGTTGGACACAAAAGCAACCACCTAGCATTGGAAAAAAGGCTTATGCTCTCGCATTCACCTCTGATTCTGAAGTTGTGAAAAGGAAAAACACCGTAACAATGAGCTTCCATCTCCTAACCAAAGCTTCGCGGCAGAGCCAAACGACAAAGCCAATTGCATTTTCCCATATACTTCCACGCTTATTTTCTCAGCGATCGGAACGGTTCGTTATTCTTAAAATCTCTCATATTCCTCATTCTCTTTATGCATTGTTTCATTTCGCTCATAAGCTTATCGTTTCGAATCCGTTAACTGATGTTACGCTAGCAGGCCTTCATTCGGCATTGCGTTCGACATCGACGGTGTCGTTTTGCTCGGTAACACCCCCGTCGGTGGTTCTCCGGGAGCACTGAGAAAATTATACGACGACGATGGTAAACTAAAAAAAAAAAAAAAAAACGCTGTTTCCGTTTCCACCATTTCTTATTCACCGTTACGGACTTCTGAATTTGTTGATCTGTTTTTGTTGTCAGGTAAACTGACAATCCCTTACGTTTTTCTCACTAATGGTGAGTGAGTCGTTACTGTAGTTTTATTTGTTTTGTTTACCACTGTTTATATGCACGGACGGATTTTTGAAAATTTCTTATTATAAGAGTGTGGTTTAATTAATGACTCATTTGAATGACCGGCCTCATAAAAATATTGTTTTTAAATTATGCGTTTTAATGTTAATTTTATCTTTGAAACAGGTGGTGGCTTTCCTGAAGCTAAAAGAGCCTCTGAGCTTAGTCAACTTTTGGGTATACACGTTTCACCTTCGCAGGTGTGTTGGAAGGGTTTCTCCATGTTCTGCAAAAACTAGATGCATTTAATATCTGAAGAACATAAAATATCATTCTTATTTATCGGTGCCCTGGGGGGAGTGGTTAAAGAAAAAAAAAAAAGATGTTTTTGTTAGAAATCATGGTAGGTATGTATTAATACATTTTTAATACTTTTTTTTTTCTCTTTTGATTTCTTAGAAGTTAGCATTTGTCAAAAACATTTGATCCTTTCTGCTTTTAGTGTTTAGGAGGATTGATTTGAAGGGTTTAGAATTATTGATTTTGGAAATATGCAGTAATCTGTATACGTGTGTGTGTGTGTTTTTCTCCCCTGCATGTGTCTCTCAATAATCCCAAGTGATTGCCTTTTCACATTGTTGCTCTAAATTGTATTGAAATTGCAGATGCTCTTCCCGTAATCAAATCTGATCGTTGTGCAGGTTTTACAGGGCCATTCAACATTTAAACAATTGGCCAACAGGTATGTGTGTGCATCTTCTGATCTGGTTGCATATGAGTATTAAATCCTGAAACGATCTTCTGGTCAGGTTGCGCATGAGTATTACATGCTGAAGCCAATAAGGTTAATATGCACTTCAGGGCATTTAGGCTATTTTGTCACATTATATTTATCTTGGAATTTTCACTTCACAGATTTGAGAACGATCTCATTGTTGCTGTGGGAAAAGGGGAACCTGCCGCTGTGATGTCTGAATATGGTTTTAAGTAAGGTTTTAAGATAACTGGTTCGTCTGATATTTTGTGAAAATGTTGAATAAGCAATTCAATGTCATTCAATGTCTAATCAGTAATCATTATGTTATTGTTGATATTTGTCTTTTCAGATATGCTCTTTCAATTGATGAATATGCATCATGCTTTGAAAACATTGATCCACTGGCTCCGTACAAGAAATGGACAACCAAGTGTGCTGCTACACAGAATTCAAAGTTTAACGAGAGTGTTCCAAGGAACGATGTCTTCTCTAATAGGGTTCAAGCAGCATTTGTAGTTAGTGACCCTGTTGATTGGAGCAGGGACATACAGGTTAATTTTGTCACTGATCCTTATGGACTGGTCTTCCTTTTATCTTTCCTACACATTTTGTGAGGGAGGTACAGGTTACAAAAATTACATGGCTTATTTTAATCCCACGGGTTAGGAAAGCAATAATATGATCAAGCATTTTAAATTGTAAGCATTGGACTTTTATTTTTTCCTCACAAAGCATGATTTATATGTAAAATTAAACAACACTACTAAACTGCTCATGCTTTTGACTTTTGTTTTTGCCTATCTGGTGGTTCAGGCCTCAAAGCCATACTCTTTGGGGATGTTCAGTCGAGAAAAATGAGCTAGTGCTAAAATACATTTATGCTTTAGATTTTAGCACCTTCGATATGATGTCATGTACACACGGTCATTTCTTGGAAAAGTAATTGACCGTGGTCTGTATTTGGGCTATTCATGGGCCATGGTTTTGTCTTTACTTCATAGCTAGATCAAAAGAAATGAAAAAGAAATGAAATGAAGAAAACCAAAAGAAGAGACACAAGAAAAGTAAACTCTACAATATATACTTGCATTCTACTAGGATCCAAAATTAAAAGAAGCAAACGACTAAGTTTGACACTTGACTTTCAAGCTGCTGACAACTTTACTAGTTTTAGTTTTATCATATTTAAATTACGACTTGGTTTGTGTTTCTGAGAGGTAAGAACAAATAAAAATACATCTCTACTTCTTTGGGATTTTAGAAGCTCTAAGATTTGATTTGTTTTTCCTGCATTGAATTGATGGATCTGTGAATGACCAATGCTTTTCATTCAGGTTCTCTGTGACATCTTAAAAACAGGAGGCCTTCCTGGAAGGAATGTTGGACCACAACCGCATATATATTTTGCAAATGATGACCTTGAATACCAGGTTGGTTGATGTTTTCTATGGTTAAGTCTTGCAGAAAGACACAGATTATATGGAACCCTTTTAAAATTCTATACTACTATACTTACTGACAAGGTCCACAAAAGGTAGACTAAGTTTCCTTCCGAACGTTTGGGCATGGGAGCTTTCAGGATTGCATTAGAATCCATCTTCAATAGGTAAGACTGCCTATTAATTAACTGTTAATGGGTCTTTTCTACTTTAGTTCCTTTAAATTGAATACTTCAATATATGCATACACTTATGCAACAAGAGAAACTATTCAAGAATAATATCAAAACTGAAGCCAAATTAGTTTAATGATATGGATGCTGATTTAATTCATATTTAGATTCTTGAGAACCTTCATGTATCTATAACCATTAAATGCACCATGTGCAGGATTCACCCTCATTCCTTGGAATATACATGTTTTGGCAAACCGTATCCATCTGTCTTCAAGAATGCAGAAATCGTGTTACAGAAACTTGTGGCATCGCTTTATAACGATTTCTATGATATAAGTCGTAATAATGCTCCATATTTTAAAACACTTTACATGATAGGAGATAATCCTGCAGTTGATATCAGAGGTGCACGACAGGTATGTCTCTTGGAGTTAGATTTCACAAGTTTGATAAGTAAAGTTATCTGCTGATAAATGGTGCTATTTATTGCATTTCAGACTGGGCATCCTTGGTTTTCTATTCTCACAAGAACTGGGGTTTTCAAGGGGAAGGAAAATCATGACAAATTTGCAGCAGATCTGGTAATTCTTTATGTTCCTCCAGTAAAATCTCATAAATACTTGTACCTTTTTTCCTCTAACACTTCCTAAGTCTTTTTTGGAATGCGGTGGTCATGGATATTTGGAACCGTAAGATACACAGAAAGGCAATTTTTCCTTCCGTTGTTAGTGCCACAATGGGAATTATTGGTAGCCCGATCAAAACTAAGATGGGTAGCAATCGTGAGTTAGACATACAGTAAAAAACCAGGATGAACAGGATTTTAATTTTGTTACCACTACTACTGCTGTTTTTTATTTTGGGTATTGGGGTTTTACACATTTTGAAAAAGGATGGAGGACCGTGATTATAACACTTGTAGAGAGTACTTGTTTTTAAGGGATTGTGTTCAAGATTATGACGCAGCTTTTGCGTCTAACGTTGCCATTCTTAAGTAAAATAATACCTTGTGGGGATTACAAAACAACTTAGCTTTTGCAGGTGGTTGACACTGTAGAAGAAGCTGTGGACTACATATTGGCAAAGGAATGCGTTTCATAGGTCTTTACATTGAAATGCTTTGATTCTTTAAGATGACATTTGAAAGTCATAGGTGATTCTGTGATATCACCAGAAGAATGTAATAATTTGTGGCCTAATCAGCCGTTCATTTAAAGCGCATACAAGTTATATCATGATACCCTGGGTGAAACTCTTTTTTCTCATTGGCTGGTTTGTCCGTATTTCTGATAGATTGAGAGCTTTTAGTTGCTTTTTCTAAGCATTAGTTTAGCTGCACTTTCTTGAGCTAGTAACTTCATTTCAATATTGGACGAGATTTTACTATAAAAAAAAGTTAGGAATCAACTAACAAGGTTTGACATTGTCAATATACAACTAAATTCGTTCAATATCAGTTTTGATTTCTAATTACGAATAAGAAAGATCGTAAGGAGAAATATAATTTATATCAATAATTTTTACGCCTGAAACAATTAATGATATCATTAGCATGCACACGTAAATAAAAGTATGAATAAAAAATGAAATTATGCAAGTTTATGAAATATATATGGATACATTACAAAATTTCATACAAACTGATTGGCTAGTTAAATATAATTCAAAATGTGTATAAATTAATTTCTTAATTATAAAACAAACAAGCCCTTGAGCACGGAAGCTAGAATTTGATTTTAATGTGCGTACCGTGCCTAAAACTGCAGAATGGATTACTAGGAATAATTTATTTGAATATTACTAGGTATTCGTGTCCTATAAAAATGGGGTTCTAAAATATAACAGATATTGACAGTAAGATTAGATAGAAAATCCAGTTAAAGTACAGGACCCCCCCTCCACAAAAATAAAAAATAAAAACCAACACTTGCTAAAATCTTAATCCACTCCTAGTATAATTGAGTCAAGAAAGGATCGAAGACTAATTTCGATAAGGAACTATTGAAGAGGACGATAGAGATTATCGAGCCAAGTTTTGAAAGGAAAATAAAGCGAGCGAATATGTGCAGATCGACAAGTGATAAAAAAAAGGTAATACTTGAGCAAAAGATAAAAATACCACTATCTGAAGACTAAAAGATTCTTTGGAGACTGAAAATTGATTTAGAATTGAAGGAATATCCTGACTGAAGCTGGGCAAAAGACGGTTATGGCCGTCTGAATATTTGAATTTTAAGATGGTTTAGCAATTATTAGCAGTTACTTAGGAATTTGTCTATATATATACATGAATGCATAACCAAAACATACACCACTTCCTCTGAACTTGAAAATACTCATCAGAACCTGCAACTGCAAGCATCCGATGAGACCGAACGGTTTTGTGAGAAGAATTAAGTACATTCTTGGTTACTTAATTAGTGTGATTAAATAAATTTCATTTTGTTTTGTTATTCTTTTGCTCTTTTTGAATAATTCTTAAAACTCAGAACAATTTTTTATCCAAAAGAAATTAGTATGAGCACCCACACATTTAGAATTTGATCACTTGCTTAGGTTGGCTCCCGAGTTTTCCTAGAGCTTTATCCAATGCAGTGTTGAAATCGTCGAAGGGAGCCAATTCCATCCTGCAAACAGAACGAACATTATATGAAATTGGTATGTTAAATGAATGAGAATGCGGGTATTCATATTCAAGAATTATTTGACCGTACTTGAATAGAATACATACTTGTATTTTAACTTTCCATCTTGTACAAGACTTAAAAGTCTGTCTATCATTCTTCTGCTCTCTTCAGCTTTATCTGTGCTCAACCACTTCTGCAACCAGAATCCCCTCAAGGAAAGATCCTGCAAATATGTGGTTCTAGACTATGGTTACATTTTAATTAACTTGATCAATATGCTATACACATGACATCTGAAAGGTTACACCACAAATATGTATATGGTATGAAATTAAGGAATCTCATTCCCAAGGTTCTGGGTCCACATGAATAATTTTTCTGGCTATTTCTCCATTCATTTTCTAATTTGATTGATCATACATTATGGAAATGCCGTTTTAAACCAAGGGTATAGATATTCTGAAATCCTCATTTCAATACTTATCTGATTCTATTATTTTAAAAAAAAAAAAAACACTATTTAGTCATCCAAGCAGACAAGTGCAGATTTGTTTGGTAAATTAAAAACTCATTTTCACCCAATCATGCAAACATCTGGGCATCTTGATATCTATATTTCATTAATTTTTCAATAAGCAATACCGCACTAGTACAGAATCCCATCACAAAAGGGCAACTCTAGAATTATGTCTTAAAGTTGTTTCCAGAGCTTCAATTAAAATGAATCTTAACAGTCTTTTTACATCACTCAAACAAATGAAGAAGTATCCAGTGGATGAATAGCCATGTTTACAAAGATGACTTTTATGGCCTGGGACCTCTGGAGAGAAGTTGCACACAACTAAAATTCATATTCACACTCTCGTTATACTGGTAGGTTACATCTTGTTTGGGAAAGTTAATAAGTTAAAAATATGGACCTATTCGAAAGTTCATGAACTCACAAATATTTATTGAGGTTAAGCCTCCCTAGCCCAAGGTTGATCTCTGTTAACCTTTCAAGAAATCCAGGATAAGAGGCCTGGCCCTGGATTACTTCACTAGTATTATCATTTATTCCCAACTTCAGCACATTCTGGCAGAATATCATATATCATAAATTTTACAGAGAGCTTTAGTTATCACATTAACTTCTTAACATGAAAGTTGAAACCTTCTCACTTCCAAGTTCTAACTGGTGCCCTTTCAGGTATACCAGTGGAAGATGCAAACTCCTCAGTCAGACAATTACCAACTCTCATGGAAATTTTGATATGATTCAACTTTATATATCTATAATTGATTATCTTTATGCTTCATGTGAATCGTTGTCAACCAAGGTATTTCAAGATTTTAACAACAAAAACTATGCTGCATAATTATGAGAGGGAAGACAATGATCAGAAGTTGCTGCCTGACCTTAAATATGAAGGATGATGTTGATACAGAGACAGGTTTTTTAGACATTCCACCATATGTCAACATAGTTCCTCCCTGTCTGCAAGGCACAAACTTTTATGAATCTTCATAATAAAGATGTAAAGTAACAGAAGAGAATGTTGCCACTCTAAAAGCCTTCACCCAATATTTCATGTCATACCTCAAAAATTTGAGAACCAGAGAAGCAGCATTGCCACCAACACAGTTAAATCCCAGTGCAGGTTCAGGTATACCACCCTACCGTGTCAATTGGATGCAAAATAAGTAACTTGAATTCGATATAAATAATAATTCTTCAAAGCAACGTTGTTTATTTGTCAGCTTCCTCAGCATCTCATGAAGGCAAGTGCAAAATTCCCCATAATAAAAGATAAAATCACATCTAAAACAAACTTCCTAACTGCTTAACCAAGGACTATCATAAACATTCATCCAAAAAACTGACATCTATCTCAGCATAGACCAAATAATAAGTCAAGGTATACCAGGAGACTCTTGACATTCTTTACTTCCAATTTGTTTTCAGTGAAAACTTCATCAGCACCCAAATTCTTGAGCCTTTCTTTTACTTCATCAATCCCAGGCCTGCAGCAAAAGTATTTGCAATGCAAAACTAAGATTCTTCATAAATTTATTATTCTTCTTAAAGGAAAGGAAAAACGGGATGCTAATCATATAATGAACAAGCCATAATCTAAAACAATACGTAGAAGCTAGCAACAAAACTTCCAAAGAATGTTCAAATAAGCACAAGCACCTGTCCCTTATAATATTAATGCTGTGAATGCCACGAGCTTTTGCAAGCTGAATGACACACTGTCCAACCATGCTGGTAGCCCCATTTTGCACAATAGCATCTCCTGTTGATACCCACAATTACAAATTCTAATCCACCCACTAACACCCTTTCCCCAAAACCGAAAAAAGAAAATTCAGCAAAGGGTAGTACCAGAGTTCAAAGTAACGCAGTCTTCAAGCATGAGTAGAGCCGTCAAGGGATTAACAGTAATGGTAGCAGCATACTCCATAGGCACACCCTTGTCTATTTTGTGCCAAACATTCTCATCCTTCACAATGTACGTCTGCCATGTCCCTGTGCCCCGCCAAAAAAATCAGTTTTCCAAGTAATAATAATAACTGCTCTTCTATAAGTGTATCCAAGGCACGTAATAAAAGCCAATATATTTTAAGATTTTATTAAAAACTAAAGAATGTAATATAATTTAATGTATTAAAAAATTAAATATTATAATTTTTATTAAAAATATTATTCATTAATTTAGTTTTTCTATTGAGTTTCTAGAGACATGTGTTAAGAAATAAAAAATAATAATTTTTAACGTATGACCTAAAACACATATTAAGGAGCCAAAATTATTTTTAAATTAAAAATAAAAGTATTTATTATCTCAAGTTCATATTCATACTTTTAAACTAATTAAAAGTATTCAGTATATTTTCCTATTAATACACATTCTTATTATATACTCAAGAACATAAGTTAAAAAAACCATTTGTGATTTATTGATTTCTTATTCCTTGGTAACATTGTAGTAATAATAATAATAATAATGGTTAACAGTTAAATGGGATAAAAAGTTATATATAATCAATTTTAATTAAAAAATATAGAATTTAATGGAACATTTTACAGGTTAAAAAAAATGAAATTAATAATGATAAAAGAGAGTATAGCAAATAATAATAATAATGATAAGAGAGAGAGAGGCACCGAAAGAGGGTGGAGAGGGAATGACCCAATCACCGGGAGAGAGAGAGGTAACCAAAGAACCCACAGAGTGAACCTCTCCAACGCCTTCATAGCCACCGACTGCAGGTGGTTGTGGCCGCACAGGATACACGCCTTGTATCCTATTGATATCAGAGGGATTGATAGGAGCAGCCAACATCTTCACACACACTTCCTTCTCTTTCACTTCAACCGCTTCGACATCCACCAATCTAGTCACCTTGTCAGGTTCCCCATGCACCTCGTACACCACAGCCTTCGAAGGCGGCGACACGACGGAGGAAGAGAACGCTCGTGTGCTTATTAATTGACCGCCGCCACCGTAAACTAACCTCCGCTTGCAGCTGAACGACAAACGCGGTGCGATCACACCCAATGATCGCAACGTTGCCATCGCTCACACCGTGTCTCGATCGTTCTTTTTCGCTTATGTTCCTCCTCAGAGACGGAAACTGCTTGATGTTGGGAACGACGTCGTTAGATACGACAGGGTATTCTAGTCCTTGGAAATGTTGGGCCTGGATTTGGATATTTCTATCTCACAAATATACAGCCCGTGTACTTTTTGTACAATGGCCCACATTAAATTTACACAAAAAATTCGGTATTTTCATTCTTTTACCACATTTTTGTAATGGGAATTTATTTTCTTTCAGCCCAAATCTTTTTTACCGGGCTTTTCAGGCTTGGGGCCGTAAAACGTGTTCTGTTTTGAACTAACAGAAGTATATTGTAGGCGTAGGTGATTATAAAAAATACACATTAAATATGATTTAAAGTTTTCAAAGATTTGTGTATAACTAATTTAGGATAAATATAAAATATAAATTGGAAGAAAATTATTTAAATTATAAAGTATACAGAATATATTGTTGGCACATTGAAATATGTTGTAGTGTGTTTTAATCTGAAGAAAGAGAAGAGTTTCCTTACGTGATGATCATTGAAATATGTTGTGTATCTTTTTTGCATGTAAATTTGGGAACTGTTCTCAAATGCAGTTTGGGAAGAATTTATGATAGATAAAAACTTTTGAGAAAGCAAATTACTGTTGGAGTAAGCAAAAGTTTGCCATCGTTTTGAATTTACTATTATAGACAATAAACAATATGTAGAGCAAATCCTTTAGAATTAGATGTTCACATGATTTTATCTCGTAAAGTTTCTAGATTCTCCCTGACAAGGGTACCATGTACCTTATCGTTTTTCGCTAGTGTGCTGGTGCATCCTACATCATGAAAGGTGGGAAATCATGTCCGAAATGCTCTTTTTTTATTTTTTTAATTGTTTGCTAACTCAGTCACATAATCGCGAATGAGTAGAATAACATTATGTTTACTTTGTTTCAATATGACACAATTGTTCGACGGATATTCAGTGTCTGACGCAACCTGCCATGGTTCTTTATAGAAATAGGTTGTTAACTTTTGGTCATCATTTCAGTAACTGCCTATGCCTGTAGCTTCTTCTTTGTATCGATCAAGCCTTGCCCAGGAAGAAGCTTGGATGTTTGTTCTAGTTCTAGATTGCTAAAATAGTCTGTTGGTGGCTATACTTTGGATATTATTGCATCTTACGTACTAATAATATTTTTCATGTTAGGATGTAAATACAGTATAAATGTGTACCAGTTATTGTTGGCTGCAATGCTGTCTGTGTGTAATCCAATGTCCTAGTTGTTACATTGGGGGTTAATATTTTATGTTTTATTCGAGATTTTAGAAGAAAAAAAGAAGTTTGGACTAAACGAAGATGGTGAAGACAGAAAGAAAAGAATTAAATTATTATACTATTTTTTTTTTATAAAAACTTCTCTAAAAATTTATCAATACAAAATCTAAGTATATAAAACCACTTGATTTTAGCGGTTAAAATCAATATTTTTTTTAATGCTTTTTGGGTATTGCCATAAAGTCCCTTAACCCTAACGCGCAAACTGAAACAGTCCCAATGATCCACTTTAAATGGTTGCAGTTGCAGACCAACGAATTACGCTGGAACTTCATAGGAGACATCTATCAAAAAACAATTATTACGAAAATATTTATTTTAGTATTTAAAATTATAAACGTTAATTAATTTAATCTTTAACTTTATAAAATTTTTTATTTTAGTCTTTGAAGTTTTAAAAAATATTTTTGAAAACACATAATAAAAATTATTTTTTATTAAAAATATAGTATTAAATAGTATCAGTTTATTAAATTTTATATTTTTTTATAAAAATGTATCATTTACAAAATTTATTATATTTTTTTATAAGTGAAAAGACGAGAATGAAATTAATAGATTTTGTACAAATAATGGTAAATCATTTGTGATCATTTTATTTTATTTTATTTTATTATGAACTAGTGATAACTTTTTTTATTAATATGACAAAATAAAAAATCTTAATGAGATCATTACCGAGCCATGTTTACCTACTTGAGGACAGATTAGGAGATCATTTAGATTGATACCTACTTAGTGATCCTAAGCTTCAGGCCAAACTTCTTTGGTGTCTTTAGCACCTTACAGCTTAGTGCCAGATGTCATAAACACTTATTTCTTTATTTTCCATGGCAGTGTAGGACATTGATTGTTGTCAAGGCTCGAGGGCATGCGCGTTCTTAATTTCTCATTGTTTAATGATAAGTAGTATTGGTTTCAGTCTCACTATGTTATAGCTCTCTAATATATATATAATTTTTAATGTGTGTCTAAAAAATGTATTGAAAACATTAAAATAGATTTTAAGATAATAAATATTTTTTTAATAAACTTTTTAAAATTTTAACTTCAAAAGGTGTTAATTTTTATATATATAAAAAAAAAACATGAATTGTTGGATTCCAGCAAGTTGACATGCACAATTTGCTCTAGCTAGTATATAGCTGAGGGGAACACCACAGGGAGGACATAAAGAAAATGAATAATAAATTAGGTCATCTTCAACAATGTGGCGTTGTTCATGGTGCGCAGGCACTTCTTTTAGTCAAACTTATCGTCGTCAACTTGGCTCTATCTTTTAAACGATGGTGGAGAATCCGTTCCCCCAACATGCTACATAGCCAAAAAGTTTCAAGTTTTGGCTTCTGTACCCAACTATGCACTATTGTCACTTTCGTGGGAGTGATTTATATTGAATAGCGTTTCAGAAGGACAACATTTTATATGTAATATTTTAAGGATTTTAGTATTTTAATTAACATTTTAATTTATTTTAATAATTTTTTTGGCCGTAGATATCCTCCAGTTACATAGAAATCAACACGTGTGTTAAGTTTTTCTCATTGTAAGAGAATTTATAAACTTTTACAATCATGTCAGATTGGATCATAGCATGATATCTTTGTTGTGGGTTACTTACGTCTGAATCCAATATAATAATATATCTACGTCATTTGCACACTATTTTATCTTTTACTCTACTGGTGTATAAATTAACTTCAATTATGAATTATCTTCACAAACACACTATTTTTATCACCAACAATTTTGTTGTTGTGAACGAGGATGCAGAAACGAAGAAGAGATCACACTAAACAAAACTTTTTTATTGACACATTTGATGAGCATTACTCTTTAAAAAAACAAATACAAATTTTATTTTTTTATTTGAATAAAAATATACAAGTAATTTAAAAATTTTAATAAATGTTTACATATTATTGCTTATTGTTTAAATCTTGATTTTTTTTCATTAACGTTTAAAATCATTTACAAATACTTAAATTTTATATATAAAAAAAATGTTACTTGGTTTTATATTATATCTTTCACTATTAGTAATTAGTATTTTACCTATTTATTGTCTTTTACCAAACAAACATTAATTCTTAAAGGCAAAAGAACGAGATAATTATTCATTATTTTATAAAATAACAATAAAAAAAAACTAAAGTATCAATAAAAAATAGATAAAATATTAAACATATTTTTTAAAAGTATGCTCAAAGATACATAATAAAAAATAATATATAATATTCTATTAAAAATTATAATATTTAAATATTATCAATATATTAAATTTTGTGACATTAAATCAATTTTAAATTATAGATATAAAATTAACTAAATCTAAATTTATATCGTGTCCTTTAATTTATTGTCAAAAGTTTGGGGTATGAAGATGAAATCAATTGTCACCCAAAATCTGACATAAAATTTAATGGATTTAAATATTTTTCTGGGGAAGCCATTTTAGGAGCCCTAAAGGTGCTGCCCCTTACTTAGGAATTAGGGTATTTCTTGGTGGGTGAAATAAGAACTACCAAAATACTAATACTCATTACTGAACACAAACTCATATAGCGTGCCCTTGTTTTCTTTAGTTCTACAGATGCTTCGATTAACGTTAAAACAATTTTTTTCCACGTTTGCATGACTTTTCAATTTTATACTGATAATATATATTTTTTAATTTAAATACATTATCATAAATATTTTTATATTAATTTTTTTACATAATTATAATTTTAATAACAAATTTATAACAGTAAAAAGTATCTATAATTGTTTGCGATGTTATGGAACCAAGTAACTAGCAATGACTAATAAATGTAGCACTTAAATACAATTTTTATTTCAAATTTTTATTTAATTTTTAAATGTAGCACTTAAACTAGTCATCCGTTGGTCTATGTTATTTATTTGTAAATTATTTTACTAACTAAATCAACAAAAGAAAAAAACAAAAAAACAACACTTTTATTCATTCATATCCCTTGGTATCATCCAAACTTGAAAAGGCTAAACTTTAGTGACGTGTACGATCTTGTCACCTTCTGTGTCTTTTAACAACTATCGTCACATCGCAATACCAGATAAAACAGTCATCACGATCAACTAACCACTAATCTACATTCTTCGAACATTTTTAAATTTTTTATTTTTTGTAAATTTATAAATTTATAATTATTAAATTCTGCATGTTTAAAAAAGCAAGAACATGTGTTTTCATGAGATGTTTATTTTATATAAAAACATTAAAACAATATATAAAAAGATATGACAAAGTTCAGGTTCCTTATTTTTGTATGTCTCTTTCTCCCTCCCCGCTAACGAAAACCTACTTTACTCTATAAATTTCTTGTCTTAAAATAAAAAAGTTCATATTAGTCACGCAATATTGTTTGCTTTGTTGTCCTGATAAGTGTGGATACAATTAAACAACCTTTTCCTAATCATGCTCCATCATTGTTTTCCCTAATTTTAAGTCACACCTTTGTGGCTAATGTAAACTGCGGAACTTTCTAGATTTCTCATTCTCCTTTGTTTTTGGTGCACCGACCTCTTTATTTTACTGAATAATTTTGAATCTTCTTATTTTATTTTTATTTTTATGCATCTTCCTAATAAATAAATAAGAATGTTAATTATGATTCATATTTTAAAGACAATATATATAATATCTTAGTTTATAAAATACGTAAAAAAAATACTCAAGTAAACAGAGAAAATAAAGTTGTATTTTATTTTACTTTTTTTTAATACATGTTCGGTGTCATGTGTTAAGAATAACAAAAATAAGAATTTTTATTAAAAATTCTAATATTTAACATTATTTAAATTATGTTTTCTAAAGTTAATTTTTTATTATATTAAAGAAAATCGTTAATTTTGTTTTAATGGTCGTGACCATGTCCTTATTAGTGTTAACTGATTAGACGTTTGCGCACTTGGTTTGTGGGACGGCCTAGAATAAAGCAAGATGGATTAGTTATTTGGTTTTTGTTTGCGTTTTCGTTTTCGGTGAAGACAAATTATATACAATACATGTATGTTACGTGGAATGGAATCATTTGTCTCTAGTTCTTTAGCAAAAGTTTATGAATGCTATGTGTCTTATTTTTATTAAATAAAAAAATGAATACTGTAATATTAACAACTTTTGATTATTCTTATAACCATTTCCCCCTTAATTTGCAAATAAAAAAATGACAGCTTTGAAAAGTTAGAGCCATGTTGATTAAAAATAAATTCTAAAAGTACTTAAAACAAACCATGTAATCTCAATTTTAACTATCAATTACTTTCATGAAATCATTATTTTTTAATTCTCTTAAAAACTATTTATGTATAAATAAATTAACAATTTTATTAATCTTAACCGTTAAATTTAAACTTAAGAATCTAGGAATAGTACTTTTCAAAATTAAAATACACAGCATTTATATATAATTTGAAAAATCTCAAGGTAATAAATAATTTTACAATAAAAATATAATGTTTAATTATTATTTTCAGTTCTGAAAATTAAAATTAATAATTTTCATAAACCAACATATAAATACTAAAGTATTTTTCATAAAAACCAACTTATTTTTCATAAGAACATTTTCATTACAGTGTTTATTATTATTATACAATAATTTCATAATTATATTAACAATAAAAATGTTTTTAAAAAGTAAAATGACAATAATCAATCTTTTACATACCTATGTGTGTGATATCATTAAATTATTAAATTGATTGAAAATTTTAATTATAGCATGTGAGCTTGAATAAGATTTTTTTTGAAGAAATTATAATTGTATAAGTCAAAACTTATTTTTAAATAATTTATATTTGTTTTTTAATTTCAAAAAATACTGTATTTTCGTTTAAAGAATGTTAATAATTAGATTAAAAAATGTCAATAACTATCATTGAAATACTAATTAAGGAAATATCATGAAAAATTATATTATTCTTAATTCATATTTTAATCAGTGTCGTCGAAGTACTTATTATTGAGCAAGAGTATTATTATAAAGAAACACGTCAGTGACTCAGTGTGGAATGTGTGAATAAAAATCTTATTGATTAAATTTGCAGCTGTTAATTTCTTATTTTCCTCCGAGACATTGTCGAGTCCCATAATACGTGTTTTTCTACTCCTCAAATTTAAGTCAATTTTTGCATATGAAACAAAAATAGACACACATTTTTTTTTTATAATTTGTTAACAACGACTAATTAAAGCTAATTATAAAATATAACCTTGGATATGGGAGTTAAGAAATGAAGTCAGGGGGAGAGTTTTTTTTTTTTTTTAGAGGAAAACAACTTTTAATTTAGTTTTTTTTTAAGAGAAAATCTCCAAATGAAGTTTGCATAAAAAGAAGGGAGAAAATTTAGGCAGTATTTTACTATATATATTCTTATAAATATTAATAGATGAAATATAAAAATAATTTTGACCGCACTAATTACCTTGAAACATTACAGTTCTCAATCATAATTTTGCTATCAAAAGCAAAAATCTTTCATTGTACAAATTTATGGGATTTGAGTATAATAAATTATATTTTATAATTCAGTGATGATCATTTATTTTTATGAAAAATTTTATATTTGTCATAATATAATAATGATTTTCATATTTCTGTAAATGACAATTTAAAAATATATGCAACTATAAATCCAAATAAAATCAACCCATTCTTTATTAGGTTTGCTCAAATTTATTATTATTATTTTCATATTCAAACTAAATCAAACCGAATCACGTACAATTTTAGAAACTATATTGAAAGCATATTAATAATATTTTAATATAAAATTTATGCTTTTAATTATTTTACGATTTAGGTCATTGATTAGCGTCTCTCGTTAATATTTCCTTATTTGAAAAAATAACACCTAAATCCACTGCTTTTATTTAACCAAAAATAAAAATATTTTACAGTAAATTTTCATTTATGGTTCAAAGTTAGGGAGTCAAGTTAAGATAAGAAGAAGATGAAATATCTGACACGATATCCAACTCCAAAATTCACAACCTACTATTCAAGTTTTATGACAACTTTATCCCTCTATCAACGCGTTAAGTTATTAATAGGAGCACTGATTCAGTGTTGCCAAGCTCACATAAAAATATCCATCAATTAGTTTCCTCCGTTACAGCTTAATGGCTGGAACGCGTGGATCATCGTTGGAACAGACACACGAACGCAAGAATAGAAGCCGCATGCGCGTAACCAACAGGTCCCACTCCACACGTCATCGTTTCGACGTTGCAAATCATTCTAGACGTTGACTACCATTTAGTGGGACAATCGAACGGTAAAGAAGGCGCGTACTTTAATTAGGGCGTGCAAGCGCGTCATTTGAAGGAGAAAGATATGTTTGCGAACCAGCTCGCACCAAATCGTTGAACTTCAATTAAAATTCGCCACGTCATTGAAACAGAGTTTGTTAATTGTTAACACGAAGTAGCAAAGAAGGTTTTGTGTTACAGTGAACGCAACTGAACTACCCAAACAACCCTTCGTTGGGTCATTCAGTTCCACGTTTGCAACCCACCACATCTTTTATGGCGAAAAGACAGAAAAACCCTCGTGTCTTTCTCGTGGCTTCTTTTAATTGGTAACATAGAACATTTGATTTACGATTCATGTCCACCTCGTAGCGACCCAGAATATATTAAAGCACCCAGAAAGGCCACAGCATGAGGATCCTGTTTCCCTTTCTCTCTCTCATTTTCTAACACAGTTTGTGACACTGTTTCTGCTGTGTTTTTTCATGTTTGGGGTCTTTGTTCTGGGCTTTTCTTTGGTTTAAGCCTGAGACAGAGGTAACAGCATGAGTTGCTTTGGTTGGGCAACCAAATCAAGCAAAAAATCGAACAGTAGCAACAACGAGAAGCCCAGCAATGTCACTGCCGTTGGTAAATTTCGCCAATGGATCTTTGTTAGTTAATGTTCTCATGCATTTTAGTAAGGCAGAGATTAAACAGGTTCACGCTTTATTTGTGATCGTTTTCAATCTTATGGCTCCTTGTTTTCTCAGTGATCGTTGTTTTCAAAATATTTAGATAAAAATGAAATTTTGGACGTGGGCTTTTCCTTTTTTTTTTTTGAAAACAACGATCAAAGTTTTTTTTTTTTTTTTTTTGGGGGGTGGGGTTGTGTTCAACATGTACCAAGCCTCTCTGGGTTTCTTTTCTTCGATACAAATTGTTGACTGCTTTTTGTTCCGTTATGGAAGCATTTTCCCAGGAAATTTTGTAACTTTCTGTCATATGAAAAAATAAAATAAAATTAAGAATTTGGTTTATGTTTGATTTCAGTTTAATATTTCATTTTCGGTGGTCAACAATAACGTTCGAGCATGACAATTTCTGGTGTCTTAAACCCCTCTCTCTAGAAATTTTTGGACGAATTTGGACTTTGATGTAATATTTTTGAAGGCTCGAATTTTTGTATTTAATAATCCAAAGTATGGGGAGGTTTCTATGTTGCTTGAATCTTCCAATCCATAAGTCACACTGGCCCTTGTCATTTTGTGTTTTTATTTCCTTTTAAATTTTGATTGTTGTTTGGTTTTATTTATGGTTTCCTAGGATGAGTCGTTTTGTTTGAACTCTCTCCCTCACGTGTTCTTTGTTTTGTATGTTTGTTTATATTGTTTTGCAGAAAAAGTCAAAGTTGATTTGAATGTGAGCGGTAAAAAAGAAGATAATTCAAAGTCTGATCAACTGTCTCTAGATGTGAAGAATTTGAATTTAAAAGAGGAGTCCAATGAAGAAAAAGTTAACAATTACAGGGCACAGACATTTACTTTTGATGAGCTTGCAGCTGCAACAAGGAATTTTAGGTCGGATTGCTTTTTGGGTGAAGGCGGGTTTGGCAAGGTTTACAAGGGGCACATAGAGAAAATAAATCAGGTTTGTTTTAAATGGGTCCGTAAAAAAATTAAAATAATAATCAAATCATCTAACCATTCTAATCCTGTTATTGTCATGTCTTTCATATTTATACCCTTTTCATTGGCATCATGGTTGTTCACATGCTTATTATTGGTGAGGTTAAGGCTTGTTATTGTTTATGTAGGTTGTAGCAATAAAGCAACTGGACCCTCATGGGCTTCAAGGAATTAGGGAATTTGTTGTTGAAGTTTTGACACTGAGTATGGCAGACCACCCTAATCTGGTCAAGTTAATTGGGTTTTGTGCTGAGAGAGAGCAGAGGCTGTTGGTTTATGAGTACATGCCATTAGGATCTTTGGAAAATCATTTGCATGGTATAGTATGTTATACTAGTATTTTTTTTCTTAAGGTTGATTGGTTGAATAGAATATACTGTGTCAACAGTGTTCTTTGCCCCCATTGTTTATATTTTTCATATTCTTCATTCTCTCAGATCTTTCACCTGGTAGAAAACCACTTGATTGGAACACAAGAATGAAAATAGCAGCTGGTGCAGCTAGAGGTTTAGAGTATTTGCATGATAAAATGAAGCCTCCTGTCATATACCGTGACCTGAAATGCTCCAACATTTTGTTAGGCGAGGGATATCATGCCAAGTTATCTGATTTTGGTTTGGCAAAAGTAGGCCCAAGTGGTGATAAGACCCATGTATCAACAAGAGTTATGGGAACATATGGGTACTGTGCCCCAGATTATGCTATGACCGGTCAATTAACATTCAAGTCTGATATTTATAGCTTTGGAGTTGTTCTTTTGGAGATCATAACGGGCAGGAAGGCGATTGACCATACAAAACCTGCTAAAGAACAAAATCTAGTTGCATGGGTATGTCAATGATATTTTACTGAACTCGGTTGGTGGAATCAACATTTTTCTTATGCTACTATAGATATATCTTGTCATTACGACAATAGAGTATTCAAATTAGCTAAGATTCTGTTGTAAGAAAATTTGATGAGGTACTTCATGCACAAAACAAATTGCATTTTCTTCTCTAGCTTTGCAAACAAGTGAACTGTCACTATAGCTAAATAAATGCCCCATTATTTTTGTAGTGCTTAGTTGTTTCAGATCTTCGTAGAAGGCTTAATTTCTGGTGCATGCATTGTGTTGAAGTTGAAAACCTTGACATATACGTGTTTATTATTGATTTAAATGCAAAACTTTCTAGTACCAAATTGTAAAAGTACAAGCATGACATATAATCGAAGATTGTTCTTTTGAGCTCATTTATTTTGGTTGCCATTCTTCAGTAATGCTGCTGTTTATTTACAGTGGTTATTCTGTTGTTGGATAATGTTGTGTACATAGAGTATGGATAAAACCCAGGTAACCATTATGTGCTTAGAGACATTAATTCATTAAGCTTCTTGAACATCTTCGTTAGCACAGAACACGACTTTTCAACGAGTAAGCTGATGAAAATAAAAGAGAATTTTCCGTTTTGAAGGTTGCTGATTTTTGTTTTACTAACAAGTTCCGTAAATTGGCAAAAATTTCTATTTTTTCTTCTGAAATCACTACCTTAAAATGCATGTATTATGTATATTTTTTTGCAGGCAAGGCCTTTATTCAAAGACCGAAGAAGATTCTCGGAGATGGTTGATCCATTGCTTAGAGGTCAATTTCCAGTGAGGGGTTTGTACCAAGCTCTTGCTATTGCTGCTATGTGTGTTCAAGAACAGCCTAATATGCGGCCTGGTATAGCTGACGTTGTTACAGCTCTAAATTACCTTGCATCCCAGAAATATGATCCTCAAAGTCATCCAGCGCAAAGCTCTAGAAAAGGTATACCTTCTCCAAGAGTGAGAAGTGACGCTAATCATAAACGTGTTGTTAGTAATGGTTCTGAGATAGAATATAATCCCGAAGTTCATTCAGTACAAAGTTCTTCTAAAGTTTCATCTCCGAGGGTGAGAGGTGACATACATAGACGAAATGTTAGTAATGGTTCTGAGACAGATAGCTCTGGAAGTTAGAAAATTGAAGTGTTTTTGGATATTCGTATTGTGAAATGCCTAGTTATCCAATTTTCCTTCATAGGAGATAACTGGTTCCTCTTCAATTCTGAAGCCTGAAGTAAAGAAACAATATTCCCTTCAGTTTCCCCCTCTTCTGTATACATGTGAAGTGGCTTTTTCTTGTAGTTAAGATGCTCTGCTATGTAGGTGTTTTTGTTTTGGCCCATCTTTTAGAATTTAGTCTCAGCTACAATAAATGACTTTTTGATAGTCATCTTAACTGCAATGCTTTAGCCACCACTATCTATAGACTCTATATGCCAACTGTTTGAACAGAATGATATATGTTAGCAGTTTAAACCACTTTTCCAGCAGAACCTCTGCTGTTGAAGGAAGATCAATGTGGAAGTGAAGGCATAGAAAAGAGGGTGTGGAGGAGCTGGAAAAGAATTGATAAAATAATAAAAAATTCTCCTGTATTGGTTGAAGTCTGCTAATAGTTTAGACAGGATTATGAAATTACATGAATGAATTTCCTTGAAATGGAATGACTTATTTTATGTTTATATAAAATTTATTACCAGATGTAATGTTATGTTTTATCATATTAAAATTATATTATTTAAGTTACTTTATATTATGATATAGTATATATTTGTCAGAGCAGCGTACAATCTGTTGCATTTATCATGTAGTATTGGGCATGACCATACACGGGGACTGTACTATGTGAGGGCGTGAGTGCATGGAAGGAATTAATTTTGATAGTGGTCGATGTTAATATTATGCTTATAACTTTTTTTGAGCACTTTTTGATAGTGTAAAATTCATGAGATTTGAGGTAAAGATGGGTTAGGTAGGCATGATCTTAAAAGTTTGAAAATTTATTTAAAAACATTGTTTTAATAGGCTATTATTGGGCCTAAAACTTAATATAGGACAACAAGCTTAAATTTTTTAAAAATCTATAACTATATATTTTTAAGATATTACATTAAAAATTTAATACATTTAAGTGTTATGTTTACTCAATTAACTAATAAAACAGATTATTAAAGGCTTAAGGAGTGTATTGTTAGGAATTATATTATATAAATATACGTGAATGGTGAAAATATTACATTCAATTAAAACTAATCTTCTCTTATACATGTGTTTTTTTTAAGCATGTTTCATATAAAACGTGTAGATAAATAATAAGAAGCACTATAAAGATAGGAAAGAGGAACTATAAGTTTTTGCAATAGCTTGACGAGTTAAAAAACAACAAACATTTTCTTATGCTATAGAGCGTTATTGTCCTCTGCCACATATGAAACAATGATGAACATTTATGTTAAATACTTTGAAGACAACTACATTTGCTAATATGCTCTATATAATTTACATAGAGGAAAAAAGAAAAAAATGATAAAACGTTACCTTTTGACATGATGGTAAAGGTCTGACAAAGCATTTTAACTCGTGTTCTGTGAGATTTTTGGTGCAAGTAGAGGTTGGAACCTGGAATATTTCTATGCTCAATTTCCACCTTCTGTACTCGTTTATTTGTGTTATCTTTAAATATATTAGAAACAGGAGCGGCAGTGACTTAAGACAAGCAATATGTGCTGTGACATCACATCCTACAATTCAGTAACTTCGCCTTCTCGACAATTGCCCACCCATATGAATAGAGTTGCGCTTTTACGCGTTGGCAGTACTCTACAACAATCTCTCCTTGGTGACTGCAAAACAAGTTTATGATTCATTTAGTAAAAGGATTCATACCAATGCTTTTATCTATATATATATTGACTGATGCTAGTGCTAGTATGCCAGTAATATATTCTGAACATTTTCTTTAATTTATCTTTTGTGATTGGTCAAATTTTTTTAAAATTGAAATAAATCTTAAAAAGTAATCAATTTGAAAGACGTGTTTTAACTTTTTTTTTAAAATTGACTCATCACAAAGAGTGTGTTTTAAAGAAATGTACTGCTAGCATTTATGAATGTGTGTGTGTGTGTTTTGGAGCATATCTACCTTTTTCCAGCGTGAGGGGTCTACTCTTTTGGTAACTACAACGGAAGTGATTTTCTCTGGCGAATTCATTTTCCAGCGGCAGAAAGGGGATTTAGATTTGTCACGAGAATAAAATCCAATAACTTGTTTTGTGGCAGAGTTGTAATGATTTTTTGTCATATAATAAAGGAATGGCTTCTGACAAGGGTGTTTAGCAACAGGCCTTGTGTTGAATGCATATGCAGTGTAATCAGCCCTTCTATACCAATTGAGAAAGGTTCGAGATGGCATTTCTATTTCTCTAGGAGACAACACTCCCCTCAAGATTTGAACCACATAACCCCATGAAACTGAAATTGACCAAAATCTATTTTTGTCATAGCAAATTGATTGTTGCATTATACTGGCTGAGTCTTGATTGACAGATTCCATCAGGTGTCGTAGGGCTCGTACTCTTGTCATCCTTGGGAATATTGGTTGCACTACATCAAGGTGGTGTAGGGACACAAGTGGAGCCACAGGGTGTGCTCCTAGAAGACCTAACAGGTCTCCATACACATCATACTGCATAAGTAACCCAAGAGAATTTAAATAACAAAGCATCATAAATAATAATAACTTAAAAATGATAATAATACATTATAAGTTTCACTAATAACATAAATCTATTTTTTTTTATAGAAGTGAGACTCACGTACAATTATTTATTTGCCTTTTTAAAAAATTATTTATAAATGTTTAAATTCAATCTTAAAAATTGAAGTCAACAAAACTAATAATAATATTGTATGTATCAAATAACAACAATAATAACAATAAAAATATGTTGTTGATGTTTAATAGAATGGAGAGGCATATAGTGTTAAAAAAATGAACAAAAATTTTAACAATATATTCTTCAACGTCCTTTTGAAACTCATTTTTATTAGTTAAAATTTAGTAATTCACATGAGATTATGTAATCCCATTCTCTGTTTAACGCGCGATTTTCTCATTTCAATGAATTTTAATTAATAATAAAAACGTGTTAAAAATTTACATTGCCTAGCACTTCTATAATTTTCCTAAAATGTTACAATTTTCCTAAAATGTTACCTGGTGAAATCCAGCTTCCTTAGTGAGTGGCACCCCTAACTCAGCCATGCAAGCTTGAATTCTATCATCACTTCCATACAAAGCAGGATAACGTTGAATGCAACGATCTTGCATTTTTGCTAGCTCCTTGGCCAATGGATAGCTTATGGCGAACCCTCCTCCACCATAAGCCATTGCATACGAGAAATGAATGTTCTGAACATGGCTCTCAGATGAACTTCCAACATAGTAGAAGTGCCTATGGTCGTACTTGGAAAGAATTCTTGCAACATTATCCACCATGAATACCGTGTCATCATCTCCCATCACAAACCACCTCACATCCTTCATTCCAAGCTTCAATGTTTCTGTCACCACCCTTGAAATCCGCAATGCTGATCTTTGCCCTTGACGATTTGTATACCTGAATTTTGAAGTGTCCTTTGAGATTCGAATCTCGGGTAACCCCTCGTTTCTAGAAGTCCTCACTTGTTTGTCCAACCACACTACTCCTCTTGTTTGATTAGGTCTCCACCATATCTTTATGTATTCTTTTCTAATGTGCCATAAACTTGATGAAGCAGCTATCCCAAAAACGATGTGTTTAAGCTCAGTTTCTGTTCTTTGAAACATTTGGTTAGGGGTTAACCGAACTACCACCGGAGATTTGTTTTCTTCTTCTTCTCTTCCTTCTTCTTCCTCTTCTTCTTCTTTTGCATTGGTTGCTTCTTCTTCATCATCTTCATCATCTCTTGATACTTTCTCTTTTAATGATTTTTTCTCTTCTATGCTTTCATCGGTAATTGTAGTTGATGTATTGTGAGTATTTATTTGAAGGTGTTCTTGGGTGACATCATTTAAATTGGTGGTGGAAATGGAACAATCTTGTTGGTCATTGTTAAAGAGAATAAGGTTGGAAGAATAGAGGATGTAGATTACAATGGTGATTAAGATCAACCAAGTGATAATGCTTTTGGAGCTTGCGTGGAGCATGCGATTATGGGAAGAAGAGTACATTTGGTTTTTCAATTAAAGATGAGATTTTTGTTTGCTTAGGTGAAGAATTTCCTTTCAGATTGTTTGTGGTGATGTGAAGAACCTTCAAGCTCATAATTGTTCGGATCATAGAAATGGAGAGGGTATTATTCTTACTGTTTTGTCCTCTTTTGTTGCTTCTAAGTGAAGTTAGTTATGGCTAGAAGCGAAGTTGAATGCGATTTCAATGGATGTTAGGTTGACAATTGCATTATATTGGTCAACTTGAATTTTCTTTTTTCGTATTTTGATCAAGTTTTTTGCTTGCATTTTGATCTTGTTCTTTTTATTAATGTATGTGATTTGCCTCGTTTAAATTGAGCAACTTAATGTAAAGAGAAAAGTGAAATAACTCATTCTCAATTCACAAATTTAAAGAATATATTTTAATAAATTAATAATTTGCTATGCACGTAAACTTATTATTATTTTTATTAATGATTGAGTTTCTTGATTTACTTTTTCTTTCTTTTGAAGTAATTTATTTTAATATCCATTTGGACGTTAAAAATGTCTGGAAAGAGATTTTAAAAAAAGGAGGAGATGCCAATTTTTTGTTTTAAATTAATACTATTATATATTATTTTGATAATAAATATTTTAATAGTTAAAATTACCCTAATACAGTATAATTTATCTTTTATTATATTTTTTAAATTAAAATATAGAAGAAATTATTTTTTCTTTCCTTTTCCTCTAAAATTCTGATTCTAGACAATCCCTAAACAAACAAGTATCCCCCCATATTTCCTCCTGCTTGTCTCTTAGTGATATTTCTATGGTGTCCTTTTTTAGTTTCACTAATTTTCTTGTCAGCCATACCATTTCCAGTTGCTTCACTTTATGCATTAAGACACTGTTTGGTACTCCTCTAGAGAACCAAGTTATTCTTAATGGTCATAACTAGAGGAGAAATTACCTTCAATTGAACGTTGATATCAAATTCCTTTTCACTAACACAAAACACAACAAGCATACTATCACATATTGGTGAGATGTGAATGTGCATGATGACTATGAACCTGGGTCGAGGCCAAAGAAATAAAAACAATAAAAAAAATGGTTTGATATTGTCCACCTTGCACGGCTACCATATAATTATCATTAGAGATCATAAGCTATAATAATTCTACTTTCACAATATACAATCAGCTCACCTTTGATTTCTTCTCAAATGGAATATTTATCCCTATTTGGAAACAATTCTTTGTTATAGAGTTGAGTATATGAAGGATAGTATATTAAACAACAATAACGTTAAACATCAAAATTTTGTGCTTAATTTTTAAAGCAGATCCGAATTTTAGGTTTGACATAACCTAACCAAAATAAAATAGAATTCAAACATTTTCTTAGATCCCACCTGTATATATTTGCCCCACGTGGATGGTGTTTCTTCTATTCGAAATCGTTTCGACCAATACGGTTGGAATTGATTATAGGTCAGGGGCCACTACTGTAAAAATGGATAATATAATGTCAGGGAATTTGGATCTTCTCATCACATGATATAAGAGGAAGACACAAATTTTAACTATTTATTAAAAAAAGATCTACTTTAATTGATAGTAGATTGCATTAATTTAAACTAATAAAAAAATATTTTTTTGTAATTTGTCCAACATTAAATATAATAATTTTTTATTAAAAATAAAATATAGTGGTAATATATTAATATTATTAAATGTTATAATTTTTAATAAAATATATATATCATGCGTAATATTACACAAATTAGACAAACTGATAAAATATATATCTTTTTTATGTTTAATATGATCATATATATTATTATTTAATAGGATACAATTTTTGTATAGCATGATTGATGCTTTTAATATTATTCTTTGATTAAAGTTTGCCTTCTTAAATGTATTAATCTTTAATATTAATTATTGTTACATAAATTATCAAAATAAAACTTAAATTTTAGATAAAAATAGATAAAAAAAATCTACAATCCTTCATAAAAAAGGTTGTCATGTTTGATAATAATAAAAAATCAAAATCCAATGCCAGGATCTTGTCTCCAAAAGATGAATTAACAAGAAGTACAGGACGAAATGATGGCGAGGGCTAGGTTTATAACGGACACAATTAACCAAAGAGGAGGCCATGATTAATTCTCAAGTGAGCTGGTAAAAGGTGAAAGCGATGGATGGCAAGGCAAAACAGCTTCAAGTTTCCAAGTTACCTACGTATGCAGCAACAGTCTCAGTCTAATAGGAATAGCAACAACAATAACTCCATCGCGCTGCATAACGTTGGCAGACTCTCCTAAATGCTACCAACATGATAAGATTATTATCTTAAAACCACTTCACATGCTTATGGGACCTACACCTCTATACCTTCCATCTCCTACCACTATCTTACAATACATCGCCATCTCGTCTCAATCTTTTCTTTCACTCTATGCTATATTGATTGCTCCTTAGGGTTGATTTTTATCTCCTTTAATTTTCACCTTGTGCCCTATAATAATAATCACGAAAAATACAAGTAAAACACTCTTTAACTTATTTTTTGAATTGATTAATGTTTTAAGAAGTTAAAATATGTTTTGACTATTGAAAAATTGATTAACATAAAAAAGTGTTAAAGATGGTATTTAAAAGAATATGTTGCTGATATTAAATAAGAAATATATATGAAAATGGATCATAGGTATATTATTTTCTATGGCAATTGTTTCATCTATGTTTAAACTCGTGAAATGATTATGACAGAACAAAACTTCATCTAATGAGGTTGAACATGTTGTGAGCTAGAACTGCTTGGCTTCCTGTCATTATATTGTAGCACTAGCAGCCACGTCAAAGAGGAAATTAGGCAGACGTCAAATCTGCATTTCCATCATACTTTATAGGAAAATTATACACTTTGTTGAAAATTAATGGTAATCTGTGGTTGTGGTATTTAATATCCAGCATGGCATCACGTGTCCACTTTCCATGCCTGTCGTTTAGGAGGGGGGACTAGAGGCTTTTAAAAATACAAGCTCCATTAGTTTTGAGTAAGATGGATATGTTACGTGATATGATTACAAGTATTATTAATATTAGTAGATATTTGTTGTCATTTGTAAGTTGTCTTTTTCTGTTTTTGTCCTTCGCCATAATTCAACAAACGCAGACACACAAACACAAAAGTCTTTCCCTTCACACAAACTGGTCGGGGAGAGCATGCAAAGAACAACGTGCCTTATGAGATAATAGAGAAGACTTGTGCATTCTTTGCTCTTTGCTTTCTTCATGCTTGCCAACTCACTTCCTCACTCTCTCAGAATAGAAAGAAATCATTGGAGTTTGAAGGCAAAAGGATATGCTATGAAGCAACTGAGAAAGAGCCTCTTGTTCCTTAGAGTGTGATCTCCTAATGATTCAGGACTTGAAAGTGAAAAAGGGTATTGGGAATAAGAGCAGAAGCCATGTGAAAAACTGTGCATATGGATGGAAAGCCAAACTTTTTTGACAAAGATTCAGATTCTCCATTTATGTTTTCTTTCTCTTTTCCTCTTGCTATTTCTAGAAAAATAACGTTTTAATCTCTCAATCAAGTGAAGAATAAGCAGAAAATATACAACCTTATCCACCAAATCGATCAGCACAATTCAGCTTGAGGTATTTTCTAGTATTGTCTTGCATTATATTCCCAACATGATTCCCCTTATTGTAATAATAACTATGAATTCTGTTTCATGCTTGCTGGTCAATCATCTTAACTCTCACATTCCTAGCTACTACCATTAATTATCATGACACATATAACTTGGGCCTAGCTAGTGCGTAGTTAATTAATTATCATGACATAATCTTAATTTCTTTTCCATTGCGAGTTGATTAATTTTTCTGGTCCTAGCTGGCCAGCGCGTAGTTAACTGCTATTGTTGGGCCATAATTAGAAAACCAATTTTTAAAATCGATGTCTCCCTGAGGTCCCAACTATAGAAAATTTGATCAGATCTCATTATCAGTTGACAAAACTACCCTGAAAAATGTGAGGCTCTTAAAATTCCTTGTAGTGATCCAACTACCCTAGGAACACAAATTAGCTTATGTACACATTTGAAATGACGAAACAGTCCCCACTTAATTCACTATGTTCCATACAAATCCAGTCTCATTGTATCCCACCATCACTCTCTAGAGTCCCCATTTCAATTACTAACACACGACCACCCTGGTATTTGTCCCCCTTGCCCACCCTCTCAAAGATGAGACCATGTTATTAATCCCTAATCCAACTTATATTTATAGCTTAATTAAGCATGATTTCTATAGAATAAAAATGAAATAATAAAAAATATAAAGATTCTTTACTTTGCAACTTGTATTATCATTATGTTTTTTTTATAAAATTTCTGCAAAAGAGTACATAATAAGAATTTATATATAAAAATTTAATTATAATTTCTATAATTCAATTTATTAATACCATTAAATGTTGGAATTTTTAATAAATTTTTTATTATGTATTATTTTTTATAAATTATTATTATTATTATTGATCTTAACTTTTAAAGTTAAGTTTAAGCACATAAAATAATAAATATTTATATATTTTTAATATAACTATTAATAATTTTTAATAAGAATAAATTTAAATTTTTATATCATTTATTTTTATAAATATTTTTAATTATTAAATAAAAATATTAAATATATTTTCTATTTTAAGATGGTAAATACATATTTTTTTATTTAATATATCTTTTATAAAATAATAAAAAATATAACAAAGCTCTCTTAATATAAGCTTGCTATTTAAATATAAGCATTGAAGTTAAAATAACCTTATAATTTGGAGTATGAACAAATTTGAATCGTTTCCATATATAGGCAAGTGGGAACAGAGAGGTAGCTACTAGCTGGCGATGGAGCAGTCGGAAAAATCACCAAAGAAATTATCATCACTGAGATCATCATTTCCCAGAGACCCACGTGGCTCACTCGAAGTGTTCAACCCAACAACTTCAGCCAACTCCAGAGCGGGGTCACAACCGTTGTGGAAAACTTGGACGGAATCCGAAGAACCACGGAACCTCTCCGATGAAATTGCCACCTCCACCTCCTGGATGGCCATCAATTCCCCACCTCCGCCCACCGGAGAATGTGGTGCCGCCGCCCAGAGAGCAGCCGAGTGGGGTTTGGTCCTCAGAACCGACACCGAGACCGGCAAGCCTCAAGGCGTGACAGTTCGGAACTCCGGCGGCGAGGAACCCAACGCCAAACTCGCCGCCTCTTCTTCTTCCAGAAGAAACTCTCGCAACTCCGCCAGAACATCCGGCGACTCTTCGGACGGCGGCGCCGTCGGCTGGATTCCGAGAGTTTCGGAGGACTTGAAAGACGCTTTATCGGCTTTCCAACAAACTTTTGTGGTTTCGGATGCTACCAAACCCGATTACCCGATCCTATATGCCAGTGCGGGGTTTTTCAAAATGACGGGTTATACGTCCAAGGAAGTCATAGGGAGAAACTGGTACCTGCCTATTCTTTTTTTATTTTTAAAATTAAAATGGGAAAAGAAATATGCAACGGCCGTTTTAACTGTAATAACGGATATTTACTTGCGGGTCGGGTGGTCCAGTCGGTTTTTGCAGGGTGCGGATTCGGATTCTGATGACGTGGCAAAGATAAGGGAAGCATTGCAAGCAGGGAAAAGTTACTGCGGAAGGCTATTAAATTACAAGAAGGATGGAACGCCTTTCTGGAATCTTCTAACCATTTCACCTATTAAAGGAGATGATGGCAAAGTGATCAAATTTATCGGGTTAGCTAATAATAATAATAATAATAATGATAATAATAATGAAAGTTTAGTCATTATTCGATTTGTCACAATTATTGTCATCTTTATCTTGGTTGGAGGGGATGGTTGGGACCAAAATTGACCTGTCATTAGTTTGCTCATGTCACACGGGCTGTCTGTTGCAAATTTTAAGGTAAAAGAGTGCGAGGCGCGAGAGCTGCATGCATTTCACCTTCCATTCTGAATGGACCACTCTACATTTCGTTTTCTTTGCACTTAGAAACTGCCAAATGGGGCTATGTTTAACTGCTTTTGTCAATTGTGAGCTCGTTTAAACATTTATGGCTCTTTTTCTTGGTTGGGAAGGTGCTTTCCTTGAATGTGAGGAATTTTCTTAACCATGGAATGTGTGGGATTTTTAAGAACTTCCTTGTCAGAGAAATATAGTCTAACATGCCTAAAACTGAGGTGGACAAAGAATACGGAATGAATTATATTTATAGTTTTTTAATGTATATTAAAAAACATACATAATTTTATGATTTCTTTAAATATTATATAATAATTTTTTCAGTAACTGCATGGTTTATTATATATAAATATATTTTATAACAAGTTAAATTCACTGTGGGTGTAGATAAAGAGCCTTTGATTGATTGTAAGTGGGCCTTCATTTAATCTGATATACAGCGAGATGCTTAGCCAATGTGTTTTGTTGTTTTGGAGATTGTGGCAGAATGCAAGTGGAGGTTAGCAAGCATACGGAGGGGTCCAAGGAGAAGACGCTACGTCCCAATGGATTGCCAGAATCCTTGATTCGATATGATGGTATTCCTTACATCTTCCATTTCTGCTCCACTTCGATCCCTCTTTGCTTTGTCATCTCACATAACAATCTCTCTCGTTCAAGTTTACTGTTACAAATGCCTTTCTTTTATAAAAACAAATTGAAGCAAAAATAAAACAATAAAGATGTCACACTGAAAAATGCAGTACAAAATAGTAATGAAAACCACGGGACAATAAGAGAATGCATTGATAATGTTACATTTAGACACAACATTAACAAATATTTTATTTAGAATTTAATTTAAATATTTTATACTGTCATTTCATCATGTATTATTATATCATCAACAAGAATATTTACATTTTGTAATAATTAAAATTAAAAATATATTTACACTGATAGTGTACAAAATTAAACTCTTTTAAATATTATATACAAATACATTTAAATTAAGATAAAGTCCTAAAAATAAAAATTTGATTAAAATTATAAAAGGAGGGATGTATAATTAATTCATGTAAGATATAAAAATATTAGTTAAAAAATATTTGAAATTTTGAAAATATGTGTAATGCATTTAAAAGAATTGAAATTTAAAATAAAAGAAGTTATGAATGGTTCATATTATTCTTTAAAAAGGAAATAATGGTACTCTTTACAAAGATTTTATTGTAATTAAGTATAGTTACGTTGTGATATTTTATAACGAGGATCATACATGGTTATGATTATTTTACACTCAATAAATGATTATGATGAGGGTATATATATATATAATGATCCGCTAAATATATGAACTTCACTAAATATATTCTAAGAAACTTTTCGTGCAATGAAATGAATGGGTCGATCTAGATATATCATATTACCACCATGTTATGCAGCGCATATGAAAAAAAAGTTGATCATTCCACGTAAATCGTTAACCTTCTAACGAATATATATATACACACACACACCATGCAATAGTAGTTTAAGAGATTTTCGTAGTGTTTTTTCAACAGCACTAACAGGTAGTGTGTTGCAGCCCGTCAGAAAGAGAAGGCTACAACTTCAGCATCTGAGTTGGTGCAGGCCATGAAGCGCCCCCGAGCATTCAGTGAATCCACAAACCGTCCCTTCATCAGAAAATCAGAAGGTGCTGAACAAGAAGAAGAAGATGATGACGACGAAGACAAAGCAGAAAAAACACTAAGAAGAAAATCTGAGAGTGTGGCTTCGTTTAGACGGAAATCACAAGGAGGAAATAGAATTTCAATGCAGCGTATCAGTGAACTGCCTGAAAATAAACAGAAAAACTCTCATCGCCGTTCTTTCATGGGGTATATGATTATTTATTTATTTACGTTAATCATGTCTCATTCTATGTTCCACATATTATATTTATTTGGGTCTCACTAATCATAAAAAAAGAAAAAAAATTATTTTTTTTGGTCAAGAGTGAAAAGCTTTTGTTAAAAATAAAAATTTAGACTATATTTAAAATTATGGGTGAAGTTGCATTAATAACATTTTAAATTTTTATTTTTGATATTTTAACCAGTGTCTTGAAGGCACCTTTTACATAATGATATCTTTCTATGCTTCAGGTTCATGAGGAAGAGTCAGTCCAGTGATGAAAGCATCAATAATGAGGTTGTTGAGGACGTCAGCTCTGAGAGTGAGGATGATGAAAGGTCTCATAGTTTTGAATTCGATGACAAAGAAAATCAGAGGGAAAAGCGAAAGGGTCTTGATCTTGCTACCACACTTGAACGTATTGAGAAAAACTTTGTCATTACTGATCCACGGCTTCCTGACAATCCTATAGTAAGATTCTTTATTTATATCTTTTACGTTGAAGTCAAAAAATTGTTTCCCTTTTACAGTGAAAAAAATGGTAAACATGTAACACGGTAAAGTTTGTACTTGGTTTTAACTTTTTCAGATTTTTGCATCTGATAGTTTCTTAGAGCTTACAGAATATAGTCGTGAAGAAATCTTGGGAAGAAATTGCAGGTATGCTTTAAATTTAATATCATTACACGGCAAGTACACTTATGCTAGATGGAAGCTAGTGATATAAATTTGTATATATATTTTATTAGAATTTAAGTATAGGCCAAAATCGAGTAAGAGAGAGAGAGAGAGAGAGTAAATTTAAGTTTAAATAACTTGTCTTAAAAATTTTGGTTATTTAAACTCGTAATTCTCTTATTCAGATAGCCTTTAATTTGTTATTAATTCATCCATGAGACTTTGTTATCTAAGCTTTCTAAATTTTCAAAAAATCAATTTACCTTGTTATTTGGCTATTTAGGTTTCTGCAAGGACCCGAGACTGATCCAGCAACTGTGAGAAAAATTAGGGAGGCAATTGACAACCAAACAGAAGTTACCGTGCAACTCATTAATTATACAAAGAGTGGTAAGTTTTTAGGATTTTGTGCAGGGAAAAACCACTTTCATGAGCTAATTTCTCAGAGATTGGAAATAAGCATCAAATGCATAATTCATACGTGTAGTACGGAGTATATGATTGATCTGTTACCTCTTCATGTTTTCATGGATACTATTACTATTTGATATAGAAAGGTTCCCAACATTTGCACATTGATCCATTTTTTAGAGTCGCGATAATCTTTTTTAGTGTAGAAAGGAAATATAACTATTTGACAACTTGAAGATCAATAATGTTGCAATTTTCATTCCACTTGCTTCCCAGGAAAAAAATTCTGGAACTTGTTTCATTTACAACCCATGCGTGATCAGAAGGTAAAACTTATGATAGTCCTCTAAAGATGTTGTTACATCTTTTAATATTATGCTGTACAAATTTTGTTTTGGGTGCTTAATCATATTTCATAACATTAAACACAGAATCTTCTTGGTTTAACAGGGTGAGGTGCAGTATTTTATTGGTGTTCAACTTGATGGCAGTCAACATGTAGAGCCTCTTCACAACTGCATCACAGAAGATACTGCAAAGGAGGGAGAACAAATGGTTTGATCTCTATTCTAATGCTTCATTAGTTCATACATTAAGATTCCAAATCAACCTTCAGCCTTGAAGCCAATGGACTGTGATTTCCCTTAGAACTTTTTACATCTATTATGAGCTTTCTATTTTTTTTTTTCATATAAGATTTGTTGGCATTATATGTAACGGTTTAACAGTAGGAAACTTTGTTCAATTTATCATGTTTTGTATTTCTTGAGTTAAGATAAATTTATTTTGAAATCCACCCTCAGGTCAAACAAACTGCAGAAAATGTGGATGAGGCGGTGAGAGAACTTCCAGATGCTAATATGGTAACATCTACAGCCACAGGTTAACTTTGTCTTCTAAAGAGATTTTGACTTCAACAGTGACATGAATTTTTTCGGCTATCTTCAGAAACCAGACGATTTATGGATGAATCATTCAAAAGTAGTTCGCCCCAAACCTCACAGGAAGAATGATGCTGCATGGAGAGCTATCCAGAAGGTATTACTTTCATATTTGAGATTACGTTTTATGTCATGTTTCCATTGGATTTTCCTAGTCACTTCTTCAATGTCTAATGCAATTTTTGTTATTTTGTAAATTATTTTGTGACCTTCGTTTCTTGGTTTTGCAGATCCTAGAAAGTGGAGAACAAATAGGTCTAAGTCACTTTAAGCCAATTAAACCTTTGGGGTCAGGAGACACTGGCAGGTTTTTTCCTCTATTTCTCAAAATTGTTTGAACTGGTAGCATTGCGTTAAATTAATTGTCAGGTGAAATTAATTGTAACCATAAGACTATGATACACTAGACAGCCACATATGACTGACATACTATTTCAAGATTTATCACTTCTACTAGTAATTCTATCTTTTCTTCGAATGAATTTTTGCATCTATAAAAATAGCCTTGCAGATGCATTAGTATGTCGAATTAACTGAAAATTCAAGTGAACTCGAGATTTTGAGATCATAATTAGAGTTTCTCAATTGAATTGAGTGATGGAAAGTTTCTTTCTGTTTCATCATTTTTCCTAAGCACGCTTCTGTGGCGGTGATATTATCATATATTATACTGCAGTGTGCATCTGGTGGAGCTACGCGGAACTGGTCAATATTTTGCCATGAAGGCTATGGATAAGGGTGTTATGCTCAATCGTAACAAGGTTCTGGATGTGATTAAATACATGATTATTATTATTTTTTCTGATTTTCTTTGTTAAGTTTTTGGTCTATTCACCACGTCTTACAAACCTAGACATGTTTCTGCAAGTTATATATTGCATTGGCTTCATTTCCTTTACCTTTTGGCAATACATTTAACTTCTATTACTTAATTCATGTCTTTGAAGACTTAATTAACATCGAGATAATAGTTCACTAGTTACATATAGCCGTGCTTTTTAATGATCTTTAAGTAACAAAATTCCCATTCTAATTGTGTAAATCAAGTTATAGTAGCATTTACCCTCGAAGTAATAGAATGGCCCTTGTACACTTCCTACAGGTGCATAGAGCTTGCACAGAGAGAGAAATCCTTGATAAGTTGGACCACCCTTTTCTACCTGCATTATATGCTTCCTTTCAGGTTTGAAACTCTAATATTACTTTCAAATAAATAACTCAATAATTATTATTTATTAATGACCATAGTTACGAATAAATGCAAGGAACATTACGATTTATTTTATTGTTACTTGCTCACTTTGTGCCCTTATGCACTGAACCTGTGGTTATTGAGTGTAAATATGTCACATCACAACCTTTTAATTTTTACCATTGATACAGTTGGATAATGATTTCATGAATTATATTTTGTCTTGACCTACATAATTGCCTTTATTTCATATTACGTTAAAGTCTGAAGTTACAGAGCAGCAAGGATGTCGACGTACTGAATTTGTCAAATATGTATAAATTGATTAATTGCAGACCAAAACACACGTTTGTTTGATAACTGATTATTGTCCTGGTGGAGAACTGTTCCTGCTTCTTGATCGACAGCCAACCAAGGTTCTCAAGGAAGACGCAGTGAGGTATATTATGTTGCATACACTCCGTGTGTATTTTCAATTTAGGTAGATTGGGAAAAAAATAATACATGATTTTTTGTTCTTATAAAACACAAAATAATTTAGAAAAAAGAGAGGAGGGGGGGGGCTTTATTTTAAAATGAAGAGGGCATTTAGATTTTTTCATTTTGTCATTGTGAGATTCATCTAATAGACTAATAGTATGGATTGCATTTTTTTGGTCCGAAGGTTCATAGATAGAAAATATGCCAACCATTCCTATTATCTTTCCATTTGGGCCATGATCTTAAGTTGGGCAGTGCCAATCTACGCCCCAATCTATTTATTGGGCCGAATTGACCATGTTAAATGTCGTTGGAAATTAGTACTCTATTTAGTATATTTTGATTTCTTGTAATTTCTCTGTGCGTGCAAATCTAATGGCCAATCTTATGAGCACTGCATTCCAGGGTTTAGTGTACGGTGTTTGGATCCGCGATGGAGTGTGATCTGCTTTTTCTTTGGCTGGTTTGGGCCTTATTAATTGATAGAGGTTCCGTCCAGTTGAACATAAAAAAAACTTGGTTAACTTGTATACCCTTTACAACCTCACATTTCTTTAATTGACAACATCTATAATTTGGAGTTTCTGATCTACTCTTTCACATGTTCTCAATTCTCCACCTAAATGCAGCACAAGCTCAAGTTTTTTTCAATGAATTTTAGTTTTTATGAACCTTTTCTTTTTAAGTTTGGTGCATAAAGACTTCCAATAACCACTATTAAAGTAAAGGATAGTTATTCAAAACCTTCTGCTATTTCTTGTGTTTCTCTACTTTTCCTTAACTAACATTAAATTCTTAACATTCATAGATTTTATGCAGCCGAAGTAGTGATTGCATTGGAGTATCTTCATTGTCAAGGTAGGCTCTTTGTTGTTAATTATTAAGTTCTTAATCATTGTTGTTGCTTTCTCTTTTAACCCATGAAACTGCCTTGCAACTTGAGAGATGTTTATTGACAAAATATTTCGGAAACTCTGGGATGAAATTCATCAGGCTGCAATAATCTATAGATCTATTAAAATATTACCCTCTAGTAATTACTTGGTCCTGTGTCAGAGAATTATGTCCTTGCAAGAAATCTAGCCAATGAAAAAAATCCTTTATGTATACCAACTACCATGACATTTGCCAGAACATACTTTAATATGACGTTTGGTGAGACTTTACAGGGATAATATATCGGGATTTGAAGCCAGAAAATGTGTTAATCCAGAGCAATGGACATGTGTCTTTAACAGATTTTGATTTGTCATGTCTAACATCTTGCAAGCCACAGGTAAATCCTTTATGTCTAACATAATGTAGTTTTTAATTAGAAGCAACACTTTTAACTCATGCCACTAAAACAATTTTATTTATGTGTGATTGCATTCAGCTTATAATTCCAGCAACAAAGGAAAAGAAGAAAAAGAAGAAAAAACAGAGAAGTCAGCAGGTTCCAATGTTTATGGCTGAACCAGTGAGAGCATCGAATTCTTTTGTTGGCACGGAAGAGTACATAGCTCCGGTTTGTTATTCCTGGACATAATATTATTATTGAGCAGCAAAAACTATGGTTCAATATATGCGCGGTTCAAATACGTATATTATTTTATGGTGACTACATCAATGATCATAATATAGTGCATTTGTACGTATAATCAATACTTCACATTATGTTAAAATAATGTTTTGTTGTCCAAATACTTTACAAGTTTGTAAAACGTTGTTTCTTCATTGAACAAGTTTGTAACGTGGGTCTGTTCTATTTAAAGTGTACTATGTAAAGAATATTTTCCAAAAGACCAAAAAAGGTTAATAGTTTATGAAAGCAAGCATGAATTAATGAACACGTGTTTTCTCTCTGTAATTTGAAAGATGAAGTTGAATCAATTAGAAGTATAAGGAGTTCTGTAGTTTAGCGTTGATACTTGATAGGAGGCTCGACGTGAGTGTAGAAATCTTCCATTGTTTGTCCAATCATTGTTCCAAGATTGGCAATTTAACTTGAACTCTTCTTCTTGTAGAGACCTTTTGATTTCTTGAAGTGGGGTGGGGTGGGGTGGGATCTTGGTGACTATATGAAGTATACAAAGAGTTTGATTGCATCCATGCTATTTGAACTTCTCTGGAAATTTTTATGCATTTCTCAGATTTTGTTGTAACTGACACAGTTAAACTTGTGCAGGAAATTATAACTGGTTCAGGTCATACTAGTGCTGTGGATTGGTGGGCTCTTGGTAAGTTTTAATTCTTATAAAAAAAGACGCAATTATGAATCTAAATAAGTTTCTAAACATTAAAAAAAAATAACAGGAGAGCTTAAATTCATTTTTTATTCAGTTTGTGTAGTGGATATTAATGTTTACATAGATTATCAGTTTTTAACTTTTAAGCATTTGTTTTATTAATTCTCTTTACTATTCTCAATACTTTTCATTTGTTACCTTTCTTTTCACCTAAGTATGCATATCCGATTTAATGATTAGGAGACTAGAAATTGAAAGGGTTAGGAAATGCAAACATAAATGCTAAAAATAAGCATTTATCTCTCATCATTGTTGCATCTAACTCATGTTAAAATATTGTGATTAATTAAAATCATTGATCACATCATTATCTCTTGGACTCTTTCGCACACAAAAGGCAACTCTCAGACGAGTGTGGATTATGGAAATGTTCGAAACAAATTAAAATTCTATTACACTGTTTGACTTTAATGCTTCTATTTAGGTATTCTTCTATATGAAATGCTTTATGGGTATACGCCATTCAGGGGAAAGGCAAGGCAAAAAACATTTGCAAATATTCTTCACAAGGATCTTAAATTTCCCAAAAGCAAACCGGTGAGTGCCATGCAACGTAATTTATCATACATTTGTCTGTGTTAGGAAATGCATCCTTCGGAAAAAGAAAAAAAAAAAATTCTTCAAACTAACTATTAATGTCTGATGTATCAGTTACTCAAGTGTGGAGCAGGATTCCAATGTCATCATAGCTCGCATAGCATATGCATACTCCTAAAACAATTTTGAATACTTGATGTAACACTAATTGTTCACTTCCAATCCATCGTCAAATAAGAATGTTCACGTAAAATTCTTATGAAAATCCCATTTAGTCATACTTGAGTTGGGAGTTATATGCATCATGGTGAGGGATAAAAACCTCCACAAGTTCGAATGCCACTATGTGAACACAAATTAAACGATGATGTTGTTTTAATATGCAACAAGTCTTGATGCAGGTAAGTCTCCATGCAAAGCAGCTAATATACTGGTTGTTGCACAGAGATCCCAAAGACAGATTGGGTTCACATGAAGGAGCAAATGAAATTAAGCGTCATCCTTTCTTCCGGGGTGTCAATTGGGCACTAGTTCGTTCCATGGTAACATATTATAGTAATTAACTATAGTGCAAATGGCTTCAATTATTAATACTATGTTTTATTCAACATCTAGTTTAACATTATGATTTGTCTGATTAGTTAAGCATTCATATCTTAACAGAAACCTCCTGAGGTTGATGCTCCTCCCTCACTTGCAACTGAAGAAGAAAAAGAAGCCAAAAATATAGAGCCCGAGCTAGATGTTTTTTGAAAGGTCTGAATTTCTTCCCCTTCTCTCTATATGTCTGTGGTTATACTTAATTCATTCAACTGACTAGCTCTTAACATGTTATCTTGTGGCCTGCAGGATTAGAAGATGAAATTATGTGGCATTCAAGACACACATGATGAATTCTCTGTGTTTTTGGAATAATTAATGGAATTTCAATCCCGTGCTTCAGTGGTGCATCATGTTCATTGTATTATATATAAATGGAGATCTAGAATAATTTTTTTAGTTTATGCTACTTTGGTGCATGCCCTTTCCAATAGGGAATAGGGGTGAGGACCATTGGGCAGTTAGTCTAGTGTGGAAATTTTTGTATATTTTTAGAATAATATTTTGAGTAAAGTAGAATATGCCATGTAATAATATAAAAAATAAACCTGTATTGTTAAACCATTTTTTATGAAAAGATTTTATTTTTATGTGACTTTTTAAGATGATGTTTGACTCTTTTCTTTAAAAAGAGTAGAACTGTCAATTTGACCCTTGACCTACAAGCCTACTCATATAACTCACTATATAACTTCATATTTTTTAAGCTCTATATATAGTGGGTCTATTTTGGTTCTAAGCCCTAATATAAAAATAAAATATGAGTGTGGGTTAGGGCTAAAGGTGGGTTAGCCCACACTTTTTAGAAAGTAATTAATAAATATTATGTTACTTTTTTTAAGATACATATATTTGTTTATTATTTTTATTAATTGTTTTATTTAAAATTAATAAAAAATATCTTAAATATAAAAATATAATTTAAAAAATAAATTTTTTTATCTATTTAGGCTAAAATTTAAATTTGCAAACACTCATTAATTTTTGCTAAGTTCACAAGTTACTTTTTTACACAAATAAATTTTACAATATTAAATATCATATGTCTATAATTTTCATGATAACAGTGTTATATTTTTTTGTAGCATATTAAATATTATTAAAATAAATAATTTTGAACATTTTGATAATATATAACTTAACAAAGTTAGCTAACATTATTTTTTATTATCAATTTTGTGTCTCTGTTGTCACTTTAAGATATTTATTGAACATGTGATTTTCTTTAAATAATTTTATAAAAAAAATAAATATACACTTTTTAGAGAACAATTAATAAATATTATTTATTTTTATTAAAAACTACATGTGTTTGTTTATTATTTTTATTAAAATATTTTATTTAAAATCAAATTTTAAATATAAAAGATGTATTTTAAATATAAAATAGTTTATCAATTTTGTCTAACCAATTTATTTCACTTTAAAAATAAATTTTATCAAATTAAAATAAGTCAAAATTTAAATTTGTAAACATTTATTAATTTTTAATAATTTCATAAATTATTTTTTTCTGTATCAATGAATTTTATAATATTAAGTATTATATGTTTATGATTTTCATGATAAAAATATTGTATTTATTTCTTTAACACAATAAATTTAATTTAAATAAATCATTTTAAATATTTTGTTAATTTAACAATAGATGACTTAAAAAATTTAACTAATGTTATTTTTTGTTGTTAGAATTTTAAAAATAATTATTAAATGCGCAATTTTCTTAAAATAATTTTATAAAAATATATAAATAAAACATAATAATATAAAAATATATAAATATGAAAAGTTTTATGATTAATATTCAAATGAAATTATAAAATAACATGTTAAAAAATTATTAATAAAATTATATAAATGAAAATTGTTACTATAATATAATAATTATTAATAGTACAAACAAAAATTAGATAAAGATGTAACTTAATTTGATAATAAATTATTATATTTTATTTAACATTATTTAATAGCAACAATTTATTCTAAATATTTAATATTATATAATTTAATTTTTTTTTATCTATTTTTAAATAATTTTATTTATTTATAAATTTATAGTAAAAAATATGTTATATAAAATAAATATTTTAATGAATTGTAAAAATATTTTTAAAGATAGTTGGCTCATGGGTTAGCTCTAACCCACTTAATTATATAGACTTTTTAGTTCTATGGACTTTTCATAGTATAGGCTTTTTAGCCCTATGGCTTTTTTGCCCTAATCTACATGAATTAAGGTTAAATTAATTAGGACTGACTCATTTGACACCTCTAAAAAATAGAGGCTAAGTTCAATATAATTGTAAACAAAAAGTTTAATTTTTCTTTTTAACAAACAAAGGTCCCAAAATGTTTTTATAGAGGTAATAAAAGATGTTTACTTTTTAAGCAGAAAAAAATTTAAGAAAAGCCATACACTATTTAAGTACAAATAGGAAAAAGTTAAATTCAAGTTTTATGAAAAGAATTATATTAATGAGTATTCTTAAAATATTGATAAAGAACAATAAAATATATTTTATCAAATATAATTATATATAAAAGGACAAATGTTAAATAACTTTTATACTTTCAGTGTAATAAATATTTTTTAATAAAAAATTATTTCTTCTCAAAGCAGAAAAGAAGAAGCTTTATAAAGATAAAATGTTGGGTTAAGATATTAAAAAGAAAAATAGCTGAGAGATTAAGATAAAATGTTGAGCAAAAGCTACGGTGAATTAGTAAATAAAGTAAATAATTTATAAATAAATTAATAAAATAACTTACTATAATATATTTTAAAATTTTAAATATTTAAAATTTAATTTTATTATTTTTAAGACAATTAACATTTAAGGAAAAACATAATTATTCATTCACATAAAATTATGTCATATTCTCTTAAACTTATTCTTATCTTTATTTTTGAAGCAAATTCAATAATTTATTTTGTATTTTTAATATAAAGTTCAACGATAAATTGAGTAGCTACAACTAAAATTTGCTTTATAAAAGTCTAAAAAAATATAAACAATACAAAAGATCTAACGAAACCAACTAATTCTTTATTGGAATATTGTTGTAAATGTTTTATTCAATTTTTTTTTCTTTTATTTCAATTCCTTCATATTTCTCTCTACTTAATAGTATGCAAACATTTTTTTTCAAATATACCTTAAACTTACATAACCATTTTCCTTTTGAATTCATATACTTTCAACTATAATCTTTGTAAATTTGAAAACATCGTACACTCATCTTAATTATCTTAATAATTAATACTTTGATTTGATCAAAATAGAAGTAATGACTAAAGAAATTATGTGAAAAAAAAAATACAGTGAATTCATTTATTGTAAATTTTTCTAAGTCACTATTATCTTGTTAAGTGAAATTTAGATCATAATAAACTAATAAATTTTGTTAAAACTCACTTAAACCAACAACTATACGTTTAAGTGAATCATAATCAGAGATAAATTTAAAATTTTTGTCAAAGTTTACTTAAGCCAACACTATTAGCTTAAGTTAATGTTGTACTATATTACACAACTTAAAGTGTTTTATGTATTGCTTAAGTGAATTACCTCTAGTAAAATATCTTTTTCTGTAATTTTTATTTAAGTTTAAAAAATTAGCTTAAATTATGGGTGTCAAAATGGCCTAACCCGAGCTTGCTCCATTTAGAAACTAGGTCAGATTTTTAGCCTGACCTGTTTAAGAGTAAGTTGGCAGGCTACTGGAACAGCCAACCAAAAACTGATAAATAAATAAATAAAAGTTAGTGTGCCATTAAATTAATAAGTTAGTTCATTGAAAATTATGTTTTTTACAATAAATAATAACAAAATATTTAAAAAATGTTTTTATATTAATTAAAATTAATATTTAAATATTTTTTATTTTAAAAAAAATTGGGCTTGACGAGGCAACCCACCTTGGCCTGCATTTTAGCAAGCTAGGTAGATCGGCCAATTTTGCCACCTCTAGCTTAAATGATTATTGTAGAAACTGTGTGATTCAAAAATGACTATTGTCCAAAAAAATATGAGAATGATCTAAAAGAATATTGAATAATGTATTAATATAAAACTTCATTTTCATGTTGAATTTTGACTGTGAAAGTTTTTGTTCTAAAATTATTAGTTTCATAAATAAGATTTGTAAAGAATTCTAAAGATTTAAAATGATATTCAATATTTATTGATTTAAAAGTTATTTTTTATTATAATTTTAAACTTTTTAAAATGAGATTTGAAAATACATGATACGCAAAAGTGTAGAGAGAAAAAAAACAAACAAGTCTTGAAAATAAAAAATAACGTAATTTAAAGATATAAAATAATAAATTTTAAAAGTCTAAATTTAAAAATTTTTAACAAAAAATTAAATGATAAATAGATATAAATTTGTGTTCTTAAATTACATGTCAAAAATTTAGATTGTTTATAAATTTTAAAATATATTTAATAGTTTTAAAAATAGTCAACGGTGAATTACTTAATTTATTAATTTAATTTAACTTGAGCTAAAATTTTATTTTAATTTAAAAGATAGATGATAATGGATAAAATATTACAATTTTTAAAAAAAAATTAGTATCTTTAACTAATTTTTATCTAATAAGATTTTAAACTAAATATATATTTTTTTACTCTTACATTCCTTTTTTTATTTATAATAGTGTGATATCATGTGATTAATTGGTGAATAAATAAATATAATTATTTTCTTACCTTTGATAGGAGTGAGCATGGATTAGATTTGCATAAAATCTAGATGCATTTTAAATCTAATAATATGGATTAAATTTGCACAAAACTCATATAGATATATTTTAAATCCAATAATATGAATTGAATTTTAAATTAATATATTTTTTTAAACTGGTTTTAAAATTTAGATTCAGTTTAAAACTTGTTTTAAATTTGATTTTAAAATATTTATAATTTTACATATAAAATAATTTTTTTTATAAAAACTAAATTAAACATTAATTAATTTTATAGAGATAAAATAATTTTAATTTTTTTTGGATAGATGTATTTTAAAAATAAAATAATTAGAAGAAAAAAATGAAGATAAAAAAGATAAGAAGAAATAGGATGATTTATTAAAATATTAAAATTATATCTAATAGTAAAATTATTACTTTATTAAAAATAATTATAAAAATATATATTTTTAGTAAATTAATTAATTATTATTATTAGTATTTTTAGTATAATTTATTTATTTTCATTTATTTAAATGAGTACTTTTTTTAATATATTTTATTTATATTTATTCAAATAATATTTTTATTAAGATAAAGAAAATATTTTTCATGAAAAGTTCTCGATATATGTTGCAAAGTTCTCAACAATTTTTAACTATTAATATAAACGATTGATAGAAAGTGAGAGATAGAGAAATTCAAAATCTACAATTTTAAGAACTAGACATCAAATATGAAATGTTGTATATGCAAAAAATAAAAATAAAAATTGATAAATTAAATATAATTTTGTTAAATAAAATCTAATACATATCTGAACAATAAAAATAAAAAAATGGATAGGATATGGGATTATTTTAAAAATATGGATTAAATCCAGTTTGTTATGGTTA